CAGCAGCAGCAGCACACGCAGTCTGCATCTCCACTGAGTTCTGGTAAGCCTGTTTGCGACAACTTGCTAGGGGCAACCCTTTGCTGCTGCCGTTGCTAATGCTGCTGCTGCTGCTGCTGCTGCTGCTGCTGCTGCTGCTGTTGCTGCTGTTGCTGCTGCTGCTGTTGCTGCTGCTGCTTTGCATCGCATGCGTATGTGTCTGCGGCGTTTGTCATGCAGAAGGCAGCAGCTGCTGCAGCAGCCACTGCGCCTCTGCTGCTATGCTGCAGCAGCTGCTGCATGAGATAAGCTGCCTCCGCGGCAGCGTTGAAGCAGCAGCGGCGCTGCAGCAGCAGCAGCTGCAGCAGGAGAAGCAGGAGCAGCAGGAGCAGCAGCAGGAACAAGAAAAAGTGCCTGTCGTTGACTCTCTAGCAGCAATTTTCGGGCCTCCCAAACAGCGCCTGGCCTCTCCAGAACGAGGTAAGACCCGAAGCTTTTAGCTAGCTAGCTAGCTAGCTAGCTAGCTAGCTAGCTAGCTAGCCAGCCAGCTAGCTGTGTAGCTATCTAGCCGTGTAACTGGCCAGCTGTGTAGCTAGCTAGATACACAGCTAGCTAGCTAGCCTGCTGTGTAGCTTGCCATGCAGCTGGCCAGTTACAGCCGCGTAGCTAGCCATCGGTGTAGCTGGCTAGCTAGCTAGCTAGCTAGCCTGCAGAGCAGTTATCTGTTCCGCCAGCTAGCTAGCTTGCTGTGTAGCTAGCCAGCTGGCTAGCTTATTTGCCGTGCAGCTAGCTAGCCAGCTGCACAGCCAGCTTGCTGGTTAGCTACTTACTAGCTAGATAATGGCGACCCAGTATTCAGCCAGCTAGCTAGCTGGCTAGCTAGCTAGCTAGCTAGCCAGCTAGCTAGCTAATCAGGCCTTATTGAGTCAGGGAGGCAGCTGGCCACTGGCTAGCTAGCTAGCTAGCTAAATAGCAAGCTGCTGCCAGTTGTCCTCCACCTGATTCCTCAGGTGCTGCTGACAACGTGTAGTGCTGAAGCTTTGCTGCTGTTGCTGCTGCTGCTGCTGTGTCGCTGCAGAAACAAAGGCAGCAAATTCTTGCTGCTGGCCGCAGCCGCTGCCCGTGAGGAGAAGCAGCATCAGCAGGAGGCCTCGCAGCAATTCGTCTTTGCCTAGCAGCAGCAGCAGCAGCAGCAACAGCAGAAGTAGCAGTTACAGGAAGCAGCAGCAGCAGCTCGCAGGCGCTGCTGCTGCAGTAGTGCGGCATTTGCAGCAGACAGCAGCAGCAGCTGCTGCTGCTGCTGCTGCAACTTCTAGGGCCTAAACGCCGCAGCCCAGTGGCTGTGCACAGCAAGCTCGTGCTGCAGCAAACAAAG